CGTTCGCGCATCGACCAAGGGAGGGGGGGGGGGCATGGCGCTTGACCCCCGCGCCAGGGCGATGGTCGGTCGGGCCGGGGTGCGGGGTGCGGGGGGGAGGGCCGGCGGCGTGGTTTCCCCTGGGCCGACGATGATGACGGCGGAAGACATGGAAAGGATCGTGCACGGGAACTAGCTTTTTGTCGTCTTGTGTTTTGATTGGGCCGTTATTTCGTCGCGGTTGGTGGTCGCTTTATTTGTCCCCGCCGGCGGAGGGCTTCCCGCCTATTTTCGATTTTCGACGACGGCAGAGGAAAATTACCCGTCGGAAAATAATGTGGACACGCAAATGTTGTCGAAATGTGTGTCTTGTCTAAATTCCGGGCATTTTCTGTCTTGTCAAGAGTCCGGTGGATTGCTTGGTAGTTGTTGACGGCGATTTTCTTTTTTCAAGCTTTGCTTCCGGCGGCGAAGAAGCGAGAGACTGCCTAGGTGATTCCGTGGGATGCCGGGCTAGATGACCCCAGATTGTCGGTGATGTCGGAGCGGGGCTTGTGAGGCTCGCTTGTTCCCGGCACGGTCTTCGTGGACAGCTGTAGTAGTTGTGGTGGGCGATGCTGTGGTTCCCTCCACCTCCAAGCGTGATGTGTCATGATGCACTGCTGTGGTGCCTTCGATCTCCAAGCGTGATCGATCATGGTCGATGATGGACGGAGGGGAGAGGGGCGCGAATACCAACAGCGCGGTCGGGCTTTCGTCCGTTCGATTTGGCCGTCGGGGGCTCGACTTGGACATGGCGTCCCGCTAGGCCGTCAGTTCACTCTCTCGTGCAAGCCAGATCGGGGTGAGTGTTGCTGCTCCCTCTGTTCTTCGACGCTAGCACTGACTGACGTACGAGTGGTTATGCTGGTCCTGACAAAAAAAGGAACGATTGGCAAAACCTTGGGGGGGAGTAGCGAGTTCGATGGTTGACACTCTGAGTTGACTGTGATGATCGCCGTTTACGGCTCGAAGAGTCTTTCGACAATATCGGCTACCCAGCGTGTAGTATCTCGATCGCCGAGTGGTATTGTCCAATGTCCACGTGATGACGGTTGATCGATTTTCAGTCTTGGGGGGGAGTTTTCAACCCTGTTCAGTCCATTCAGAGGAAACTATGGCGTACTTTCTGTCATGGGACCAGCGGTGTAGCTTGAATCGGTGTTGTCTTGTACTTCATGCGTTTGGTTTGCTCATGGGGACATCACCCGTGCAGACCTAAAAGTCGACTAGATTTGATGCTTCGATTCGTGGGCGGGTGGTGTGAATCCCAATGATGCCGCTGTCGTGTGGTGGTCTGTCAGACATTCAGCGTCTATCTAGGGCAGACTCGTCGCGTGCCACTGAAGTGCTGTGCGCACGATCGGTATGAAGACCTCAGATCAAGTCGCGTTGTTGTTTTCTGCTACTGCATTTGCGCGTTTACCATTTTCCGGTCCAGTGTTGATGGTTCGTGGGGGAAACAACACCCGACCAGGACCAACATGTAGGCTGCGTGTTGTCGCGGGCCAGAATACCTCTCCCGTCTGCTAGTCGCGTTCCTTGATTGAGTTATTGATAGTGTCGGTGTTGTCGCTGTTGTTGATTCACACATTCCTTTGCAGTTGTTGGATTTGCGTGAAACGTTTGTTTTGCAGCTCTCGCTGTTTGCGTTCAAGGTGGGGAGCCGAGCCCGTGATGCAGCAGGCAAGATGAACGCAGCCGTCGAGGGACGGGGCGGGTCAAGAACGGGGATTGATTGGTTTCGTGTCGCTTGCGTTATCTTTAGGTCTTTAGGTTGGAAACCGCCATGATCCCGTACGGTATGCATGCACGTCGGGCGCGTTTGGCTGTACGCGTTTGGCTGTACGCGTTTGGCTGTGCGTTGACTTTTTGTCGTTGCTGCTCTTGTCTTGTGTTGTCCAGCTCGAGCGAAGCCAGGAAGAGAGGGAGACAGCCGGCGGAGTGGGCACCGCAAGTGTAGAAGGAAGCGAAGTGAATTACATCCATCCACAGAAATAGTAGAGGATGCAGATTTTTGAAACATGGGGTCGTGCGAACATTGCGGTCAGGGGTAGGGAATGAGTGTGGCGACATTGGGGGTGGGGGGGTGGGGGTTGGACAGACGCTTGGTTGTTGTCTGAAAAATGTTACGAAAGTACAAAAATATGGCGTTGACGTCACGAGATGCGCCGATGGTGGAAGGATGATCGATCGCCGAGTACTAGTAGTCGCGAGGTATATAGCAATAGGAAGGTGAAGCGTCCACCTGCTCGTCCGCTGCTGCCGGCGACGAACAACAGCCGGGGTAGTGGAGGGAAGGGGTGAAGTTTGACGGGCGCCTTCTCGTCCGTTTTCGATGCATGTGATGCACGTGTAGGGTTTGCAACCATTCGGTGCTGCGGGTTGGCACGACGATCGAACACAGTTCTTGTTTTCCCATGATTTTCGAGCGTGGAGGATTGTTTTGCGGTAGGGGGTTGAGTCGCTAGGACCTCGATCTTGGAGGTGCACAAGGGTGTGTGTGTGAACGTGTGGCGCCTGAGGTGTGTCAGTGCCTTGTGTCTCTTTGGGTCCCTGGAGGCGACGGCAGGTTCGGTCGGGGAGAAGGCAACGACGCCGCAATAGCATGGACGTGAGTTTTCGCTTGTGTTGTGTATCGGTTTGGCTCTGATCCTGCCGGTCGATGTGCCGCCAACTCATTTTCCCGACCACTTGGCCGAATGCCCATTATTGTCGATGTCTCCGGTTTGAGTTGCGCTCATGTTGTGGTCTCTCCACCATGATGGCACACGGTGCATCCGTTCATCTGCTTCACAGCAAGAAGCGTGATGGCAGGAGGGCCACTCCACGAGGCAGACACATCGATCGCCCGTTCGTTGACATGGTTTGGGGTTTCCTTGGCATGCGTTGGCGCGCCGCCGTCACTTCTTGGGGGTGCCCGCTCTTTCAGAGTGTTGTGTTGTGGGTCTTGATTGGTGCGTTGCCGAACCGCTTGCGTGCGTTGCTTAACCGCCTGTGTGCGTTGCCTAACCGCATGTGGTCCGAGCGAGTGCGAGGAAAACGCTGGTGTTCGCTCGTGGTCGAGAGGGCGCTTCTTTGTTCGTTTCCTTTGAACAATTTCGCGATCGGAGGGACTGACTGTCGCCGTAGTTCCAATGTGTGTGTGGTAACCAACATTGACCCGGTAGATGGTTTAGGAAGGGGGCGCCGGACACCAAGTGTGTTTGTTGCTGGTGCCGAGTGTGATATGCCGTGTGCCGGATGAGTATTTTGCGAAAAAAAATGTATGTATCGCGTGCTTTTCCCGTGCGCGGGGGAATATATGCTTATTGGTTCGTCGCGTGATGGCGTGTTTTCGAAACGATCGAGGAGTTAACAGGTGGTCTGCATCCCAAGGTGTGTCTTCGATGTGTACCAATACTGCCGTGGTACCTTACTCGCGGTGTGCATGCTGAACGAAGTACCGCACCAGGCAGTGTTGTGCTGGATGAATCTTTCCTCCTGCTTCTGCACCCGCGGGTTTACTGAGGTGTGGCTTGCGTCAAACAGCGATGGAACGCCCGCCTGCGGTGCAACAATAGTAGTCTAGGCCACGACGTGTGGGTTATCGCCCCAAGCAACATGGTAACAAGCACGGTTTGATGAACAAAAGTAGGACAACCCGAGATAATGAAACCGTCCATCGATGCTACGGGGGGCTCATTGCCTCCGACTATCTACGGTTGTGTGCAAGAGACACGAGGTGGTGTAAAGCAAGTGACGGCCTGCTCACAAGAATTGAGTAACGAAAACGACGCTGCTATTTTGACGGAGGCAACCACACGCAAGTGTCGAACCTCGGCGCTGTGTGTTTTGTGTTGTGTTTTCGTCCTAATCATTATGGCGACAGTCCCCCCATTTTTCGTGGTGACCCGTGTACCACACTCTTTAGTGTATGTGTAGAGTACTACACGTTTTCAGTGTATTTTTTCGTACAACTACAACCGTCCAGAGCTACACAGGAGGGGTAAACACCGGGGCCTTTCAACTGGGGGTTAACACAGGGGCTTTTCAACTGGAAATCCGACACTTCAGTGAGTTGTTTTTCGGACACACCTGCTATATCTCTTTTCCTGGGTCCTGTGCATCGCGGTTACTGGCGAGTTATCCCTGTCCACGACCACACAGCAGTAGTGAGTGACAAGAGAGATGCCAGGTTTCGATCCGGAGTCCGCCTCTAGGTCGTTCTAGTTCACTTTAGTTACGGGTGTGAGGATATGGCGTGCACTTTCGGCCGGTGGTGCGATTATCTGTTTACCTCACAGCTGTACTCCATCGATCGATGCGCTCGAAATCTGTATGTGCTTTCAGCTCGTTCCACGACCTCACTTTGAGTGCTGAATAAAACTCCACGTCGAGCTTGCTGGCTGTGGCAAAGGTGAGAGCAGGAGTTTGCCGTTGCCCTCCAACCGGTAGATGCGAATCGGCGTGGATGTTACTCCTGTGATAGAACCCGTTGAACCGAGCTCTCGCAACTTGGCGGGAATGTTCGTTTCATCTCACCGTCAATGTTGGATACGTACCCACCCACAACGCCTACCCGTCCCGACATCCCAAAGTCTTCGCATTTTTTTTTCGGGAAGAAAACCGTCGGTTCGTCAGGCGTTTTCTGGAAACCCTCGTGACCATGTGTCCACCGGCGTCTACCCGTCTGTCTACCCGCACACACGCTAGACTCGGCGCGAGGACGGAGCGACAAGAGAAAGAACCGAAGAGACGAAACGAGCTAGCAGTAAGGCACGCTTGCTCGCTATCGCGCGCTTTCCACCTTGCATGCACGTCGAACGCCTTGAGGTAAGAATTTGCGCACCCAGACCAAGCACAGTAGATGATAATAAAAGACTGACCCAGTCCGGCGCGGGCGGCGAGAAGTGGGGGTTGTTCACTGTTGAGAGTTGAAACCGCTGTTGGTCAAACAGCACGTGCCCTGATTGTGACGGCACCCGTACGTGCCCTGACAGGAATGGCGGAGCGGACAATGCATTTCTGTATGTAGCTACAAACGCGTTTGTAGCGCTTCAGCTCGCGGCAAAACAGCACCGCTGCAGCAACGACAGCAGCAGCAGCAGTAGTACCGCGCTTTACAGCTAGCAGCATATGATTGCCGGTCCGAATCTACCGTATGCATACTCTAGATAGGTGACATAAGAGATCACACGATCACACCTCCTGGACAGATATGCATATTCTAGATAGGTGACATAAGAGATCACACGATCACACCTCCTGGACAGATTTTCGAAGTTCGATTTCTCCTGAAAGCAGAAAGAGTGGCAAGCGCCGAAAATGGTGGCGTTGAAGCCGTCTGACCGAGAGATTTCCAAAAACGTATCCATGTTGTATGCATATGGTTGCAATTTTGTGCATCCTCTTCGCTGTGGAATGCAGCTTTGAAAATCGTTCGAGGGGGTGTGGCATCATGTGTCACCTACGGCGGTACATAGTCTCGACAGCTACACCTCTGCAGCAGATCTTCCCGGAGCATTATCTTCTTGAGTGGTAGTATGAGAATCTGAACCATAGTTCTTTGGTCAAGCCATATACCAGGAGTTTTGACGCGTTCTGTACTCACCGTACATGTATGTTGCGTAAGATACGACACTCCCTGGAGCTAGTTTCAACACTCGATTAGGTACTCCACGACGAAGAGCATGCCGACTTCAAATGATACGTTTTCGGAAAGCCCTCGACGAGACAGTTCCAACGGCGCCATTCTCGCCGCCGTTACTAATTTTTTCCTGCCGATATGAAAATCGGCCGAGGGGGTGTGATATCTTGTGCTACCTACCGTATATCAGCGCTCACAGCATTAATTTCTGCCGCGTGCAGCAAGCAGTAGGAGCTCCAATCCGTGGTCACACGGGAGGGTTGGTTCCCGTGAAACGTACTACCCACCCCTCCTGCGGTGCTTGCCTTCCGGTTTTTAACGCGAGAAGAGTGCAGCATTCTCGTCCCTCTGTACACACACGACCTACATGCAGTAGACTACAGCAGGAGACCCAATATTACGACAAATAAGAAAACAGGTCTGCGAAACATACCTCAGCGGTGGATTCAACACTAACTTCTGCTGGTATTAAATATGTGTGCTCGACAGTACTAGCAGTGGCGACGAAATAAGAAACTCGATCCCGATTACATGTATTGACGTTTATTATCTCCTTGCCCGTTTTTCTGTAGCGCTTTCCACGACAGGACAGAAAGGCAGAACGAGACTCACTTTGCAAGAAAACGTCACTTAACGCCGGGATTCGAACCCGTGACCCTGGTCACTAGAAGGTTGCGAGGATACCAAACAGACTTTGTCTAGACCAGATAGTAACAAGTGAGGCCTCGAACACATGAAAACACCCAACTGAAACACGCACCCAAGACCTCGTAAGATACTAGAAATAGTGCTCCTACAGAAGTATTTTGCACTCAAGCTTTCTGCCGCGCTTGCTTGTGGTTGTACCCGACTGGCCACAAATTATGCATGTAGCTCTTCTTCAACCTCTTACACCAGGCCTCGTGCTTCATGGTTATTAGAGATAGCGCCCGCACTCGAATCTACTGTACCTCTTGTTTCGGACTACTGTAGGTCGTTTCCTCTCACGGGCTACAAATGGCCGATATAGAGTTGAAGTGCTTCGAACACAGTTAACACGCGCACTTAAAAAAACCGCTTATTTTGGCCGAGGCTTGCTGCTTATTGGCTCCCTCGAACCGAGAACCTGTTCTTGTGCCAATGTTCTTATTTCGACCAGATTTTTCTTATTTTTTCGCCGAGGGTCCCATGCCGAAGACGCCGTTTTCTTTGTTCTGGGTGGATTCAACCTGACACTTGAGGGTACACCAAGTTCTTATGTGCTGGCGCTAGCTGTGTCGGGGTTCTCAACCGGGCGCCCAAAACGGTACTCAAGATCTTATGGTCGATGCAGTACCGAGCATGAAGTTCTTAACGGTCAAGTTCTGAAATGCGGGCGCTGTCTGCATGCCTGTGCCAGCACAGCTTCGCCCACATCGGGCATTTACTTGTGGTCTAAGGTCAGTTCCCGTTCCCGCGAAAACAAACAGAAGACATCAGTGGCCGCCGTGCCCGCCGATTGGTTTTGGTCGTGGCAATTTCGCAAGGCCACCGGGGAAATTTTTTCGCTCTCCAACAACAAGAGGGCATCACTGGATCGGAGTTGACTGATCTCACGGACAACTCCAGTAGACCCAGACGCAATCTACCTCCTACATGGATGCCACACGCACCAGGTGGCCGACCTGCAGCAGGCGGCGAGAGCATCATGGGAAGACAGGTTTAAAGATAAACACCCGGAGTTCTTAAATGCCAACCTTTGGCAGCGCGAGGCGATCGAGACGAGGATCAACGCGCAGGACGGCTTTCTCTTTTTGATCGGCCTGTTCGTCGTCCTGATGCTGGAGAACATGTGGTCTTTCGACCCCAGCACGTTTACTTCGGAGACGAGGCTCGACGCGTTCTTGGCTCTACTGGTGTTCGGAGCCAGCTGCGGCGTGTTCGCGATCTTCTCGATGACTATGGTTAGGCTCAAGTTGCAACGCTTGATGGTACGCGACATCGCCGCTCTAAAGGTCCAACAGGTAGGTCCGAATACATGAGGAAGAAGAGTAGGTTTCAGGTCACAGGATACAGGTGGAAACATTGTTCGGACTTATTTCTCTTCCCGACCCTACCCCTAGCCGCATCCCCAAGCTACAATGCCTATCCTCACGGGTCCAGGTGGGGCCCATGTTCCTTCACAGAGCGAAATAATCGCAAGAACATTCCCGACTTCATCATGACAGCCTCTATTGTCGTGACTAACGCACCTCGTGGCAGGTGACGGGAAGGGCCAATCGTTCGCTACTGGACGGGCTCTTAGCCCGATGGAAAGCCTCGTCGGCGCAACGCCAGTTTCAACCGGCGTGTATTTCGTACGATTGGTACCATGGTGGTGGCATGAACACCAGTAGCTTCCCCACGAAAATCCTCAGCAAGAACTGGAACCCTAGCTGCCCACGTTCCCTCGTCAAGTTTGCGGTTTTGGCCTTCGCAGCCACGGTTTTGTGCTCCATGGCGCGCTAGCAGTCAGTCTTGCGGAGACTAGAAGCCTTGCGTGGAGTATGTGCAGCTCTGCTCTTCTCGGGGCTGCAGCGCTGTTACCAATGGTGTTTGTCAGAGCGAGCACGAACGCGCCCGGTGGATCCTCACAAGAAAGCCCCTTCCTTGGTTTTTGACGGACGTCACTGTTGCAACATGTGTGTGTAAATGTTCGTTGTGGGTGGGTGTAAACACCCAAAGTGGAGGGCAACATGTACAGTAGTGCGATATGGCTCCATCACCCCCCCTATACCCATCCTAGAACAGGAGTGTCAAAAGGGGATGCTTGTCTGGCCGGCACAGGTCTGGCCTGGCTCCTCCGGACAAGCAGGGGGGTGGAGACAACCTGTAATATTTTGTAACCGTGCTACATAGTGTAGAGTGTGTATAGAAAGTTTTTCAAATGAAAAATTGGTGAGAATTGCGCCTGGCGTGGTCGGTGGACACCAAGGCGAACCCTAGTACATCTAGAGATCCAATGTCTCGTGCAGTTCCCGGTGCATTTTCTGACGAGCTGCCGGAAGTCCTTTACCGTTCCTTGGTGACGCCTCTGCGTGAGGTGGTTCCCCTTGAGTGCAAATCACGGTCTTGTTGGTCTGATGGCACGGGTAGAGGGGCATGTTGGAGTTGATCTTCGAGTCCATGGACGGCCATTGTGGACAAAATCTAGTGGATGATCGAGGAAATTTGTTGGCTTCAAGATTTTCGACAGAAATTCATGGCGATTGGTTTTACTTGATTGAGGCAAATTGATTACTTACAATATTCCTTGCGCAGGCCGGGACACTGCTATACATGTAGTTTTTTCACTTGTCAAAAGTGCGTTCCGCTCCCTCACGTTCCAAAGATGTCGACGTCGATCATCCAATGCACCGTGAGGAGATCAACCTGCCCACCTTCCTTCCTTGATTGTAGGCCTCATGTGGAGTTATTTTAGCAGCACGAAAACCTTGAAGAAAAGCATGCACACGAAGAGAGTACTCGAATTTACCAATGGTACCGTTGTGTCCCCGATGATCCACACTCATTCTCTGCAGGAAAATGCCAGCCAGACCTTGATCCTCTACATTTCTTTGATATCCGGCAACCTGACATGGTCAATCCGCTCCGAATCGGCACCAGCGCAGCGACCAGAGGGTCGCCCTTGGTGGCAGATGATGGTAGCAGTTTCACACCCGGTACAACTACTTTGTTGGTAGTTGTTTGCCAGACAACTATGTTTCCAGGAGCGTGCGCACCCAAAGATCAAGACAAAATATCCCAAAATCCTTCGTTATAATGCCATACAAAAAAATCACAACATCCTTCGTTATAATGCCATACGAATTTGTCACAAATATTTCTAGTGCTTTCGCGAATAGCCCTGACAGAAACCCCAATTTGACAATTCAACTCAAATCAAATGATCACTTCTTCACTAACTACCAGTTATTTTAATATGCATACTACATGCAGCGAATTTCTTTCCTTCTGCACAGATCTCCCGATCCTCCAACACAAATCTTCTATTTTCATCCTTCCTCCGGCAGCGTCTTGCCACCTTCACGCATTCTTGTTCTTCTTGAGCTTCGAATACTACCACACATCTACAGTACCATTCAACTTCTACTTCATGACTCCGTCGTCTCTTTCGTCTTGGTCACCTGCTTGATGTGGTTTTCGCTCACATGTGTTGGGGCAAAAGTTGTTATGAGGGTATTACTTCATTCTATGCTCGTTCGGTTTCCAGCATAGGGTGCATCCACTCGTTCATAAACTGCGTCCGCTCGTTGTATCTTCTAGACCCTCTCCTTTCGTTGCAATCAGCCCGTTCCTCTTTTGGTAACGTAGTCGCGCCAGTTAAAAGCGTCACTTGCCAGAATGGTACAGCCCGCTCCTCCTCTTCAAGTGGCGTGGCTGCGGCAGTTCAATTAATTGAACATGCATCTATCTTCTTGGCGTTCTCCTTTCGTTGCAATCAGCCCTTTTCTCTTGGTGTCGGAACTACATCATCATCGTCATCATCACAGGTATCATTCCGCCTGCAGTGCACGTATATAGCAGCCCGTTCTCTGCTGGTGGCGGTACTGCGTCAGGTATCATTCCACCTGCACGTGTTAAGCAGTTCGTTCCTCCGTTTTGAAACAGCCAGCTCGTTCGTCTCTGGGTACCCTTCTCTGGTGGTTTGACTGTGGGGGGGCAGGTATCATTCCACCTGCACGCTGGTGCCTGTAGCAGCTCGCTCCTCCGGTGGCGTTGCTGCAGCACTGTGTTTTCTTTCTCTACCATGCCTAGGTAGTTTTTTTTTGTCCGACAGCAGCAGTGTTCGCCTGCTCGGTTCTTTCTTCCTTGTCTTCTTCTATGTGCGACGCGCGCAGTGGGCAGTCGTACCACCCATGTCCTTTTGAGTTTGTGCAGCACCGACAACGTCCTTTACGGTTCTTACGATTGTCCTGCCCTGACAATTCGTTTCCTTGTTGTGCGCGACCTCCCGCACTTGCTGCACTGTTTCCGCCGCCCGACGGCCCGCGTGTCCCATGGTTTCGGTTCGACGCAAAGTTATTTCCGCTCGACGGGTCGTTCGACGAGTTGTTGTCACCGTCTCGTCCGCGACGACCTTGCTTGCGGAATCCACGCGCTCCTCCGTACATGACTGATGAGCCGATCTCTCGGCCGGGGATGGATTTCCAGTCAGTGCCGCAGATTCTTTCTCCACCCTAGTCATGATCTCTCCCAGGCCTGCTTTGAACATGAGGGCTCACTGGAGAGACATCCGACTACTGTAGTGCGCCGGCTTTCCGCTGAACGGTGCATATATATCCCTTCAGGATAGGGTTGGTGGAGGAAATTGTGACTCGATGTGGTTTACCTACCACGAGGCTCATGACCTGTTGGGCGAAGTGGCTTACGCTGTGCAGCGAGGGACGCTGTCCTCTAGAGCTGCTGGCGTTGTTATGCGAGGTGTAGGTAGGGTAAACACGGAGTGATTTATTATCCACACTCAGACGCCCAAGCTGTCTTCACCTGACTGTTACAGACTTGGAAACACGGCTTCACAATACTGCACAGAACCCGTGCAGTAGAACCAGTCGTTCTTGTACACAAATACTCCAACACAGACAACTGCTCTTCCAGGAGCGTGCGCACCTAGTTGCCTGCAGACAACTACTCTTCTTCCAGGAGCGTGCGCACCTAGTTGCCTGCTGACAACTACTCTTCCAGAAGCGTGCGCAACTAGATGTTTACGAACAACTAGCCGGTAATTGTCGGCAAACAACTGACTTTAGTTAGTTATTAGTTAAAGTTGTACAGGGTGTGAACAGTTTGCGTAAAAACGGCGATGTATGTAGAGCTGGCTTCCTTTTGGGAATACACAAACAGAGCTCGCTGTCGTTCTACAATATTTCCCAAACAGTTCTCTTTCGGCTTCCACTCCTACCAACGAAGAGTCCACCGTCCCGGTGCCGAGCAGTTCCTCCGGCACCCCGAGAGAGT